TTACGGCTTCCAAGCGTCTCTGATGACCCCAGTCCATAGGACCTCTGACTCCTCGGGCTTAGTCTGCATTCTCATGTTCTCCAAGTCCTTGTTCAGCAGCTGCTCCTCCGCTGACTCTGGACCTTTTTGGTTCTCAATGGCAGGAGCTAGAGTGACCCGTTGTATGGCATGTATTCCCAGGGGTTTCTCCATGTTTGAATGATTCACACATATCCATGGGAGGGCATCTGCAGTCAGTGCATGGTGGGCCAATTGTGTCATTGTTTCTGTGTGTCATGATAGTTCTCAACTGAGTGGCAGTGGCTGGCCTGAGGGCCGGTGCACAACAGCGCTCGCCACCACGTGGCTCCCAGTACACCGGGGGCCCTCCTTCTGGGCGCCTACGAGGCAGGGAGCGAGCCGGCCCGAAGGCTGGCACTCCCCTTCCATGGCTCCCCTTGCGCTGGGGGCCCTCCTTCCTAGGATTTACCACTTCATGATAGGATATATTTGCTGTCCCTCCAGGATGTCATCTTATATAGAAGGCATCCGTATCTTTAAATATAGCATAAGCACCACAGCAAAAGACAGTGTGTCCTTCACCACCTCTCTAGGATCCATGGTTTTGCTTCACACATGGCAGCATACAAAATGTGTGTGCTGAATGAATGGGATTAAAGGATAAATCTTGGACAATATCCAGTTCTGGTTAAACAATCTGGTAATAGCCAGTTAGTCTATAGTGTGAGCTAATGATATCTTTCCTACTTGGAAAATTACCCCAGATGATAGGATTGACATCATAATATGAGAACTAGAGAACTAAACTTTCCTGAATAAGTGGCCACCTAGCTTTTGCTCTGAGATGCCTATGGGATCATTTACTGTCAGGATTGGGATGTTATCAGAATAAAATAAACTATAGCAATGAAACAAGATAAGGTAACACAAAGCAATATTAATGTGTACAATGCATTTTTGAGTCTCTTTTGACACTTGACCTATCTTTTCCCAAGTTTTCTACAAAGCCAGAGTCCTTACAGTAACTTGTAAGGCCCTGCACCAGGGTTTCTTAACTTCAGCATGATCAACATTCAGGCCTGGATCATTTCTTGCTGCGGGGTCTATCTTGTGCATTATAGGATGTTTAGCGGCCTCCTTGAACTCTGTCCATTAGATGTCAGTGGCAGGTGCCCCACTGTGATAAGCAGAAATATCTCCCGACCTTGCTGATTGTGCTCTGTGGGGCAAATTGGTCCCCAGTTGAGAATCACTGCCCCTCCCCTGGGGCCTCATGTCTGGTTATTTGTCTTTGTTCATGTCCCACTACTCTTTATCATTTGCTCTGTTTTAAGCACACTGACCTCTACTTTTTCCTGAATGAGTTAGACACACACACTCCCCTTGAGGTCTCTGCATTGGCCATTCCATTCCCCGAAATATCTTCCCTTAGAAGGCATCACATGCACACTCCCTTCTCTTATCAACTCTATGCCCAATTTGCACCATATCAAGGCATCCCATTTAAAATTTTGCCCATTGCACTTTAATTCCCTGTCTTTGTTGCTCATGGAATTTATTACCTAGTATACTATGCCATTTACTTGTTTGTTTTGTTTATTGTCGTTCATATAATCTCCATGGGAGTCATGTTCACTTTTATGACCCTGGAATAAGTGCTGAATAAATATTTGTGGCGTAGGTAAACAAATGAGTGTTTCTATGAACGACATTTTTCAACTGAAAGTTTTTAAGTAAGCTTCCTACCTCCGCCAGAGAAAATTTCATTAATGTAAAAATGGAATATTTGACTTCAAGCTGCTGTGGAAAATTGCGATTGTGTATTGGGTTTCAAAATTAATCTCTGAAGGTCACTTTTAATTTTACTTGAAAAATATTTTTGCATGTACATACGCAGTCCTTTTACAGGGAAGTGTCTTCTGTAATTTAGTTAAGCTACTAATTTTAAATAAGTTTATTTTGTTCTTTATAGTGTCCTTTATAGTTTATTTTTGTCTCAGGAGTTAATTGGACATTGATTAGCAATACCATAGGCAGTTGATTACATTTCTCAAGGAAAGTTAGCAGTTTACAACTTTCGTGATCAAACACAGTTTTCCACAAAAATGTACACCGACAAACATAGTTTCCTCTTATAAACATTCACATTCCTTGAAAAGGTAGTTGTCCTGAAACTATCAAACACACCCTTTTAATATTATAGAAAAGCGTTTTGAACTTAGAGAAGAATCCTACTTTATGGATGAAAAGATAGAGAACACACAAAGATTTAACTCATACTTTATGGTCATGCATATGTAAATACGTATTAATCTTCTTTCTCACTCATCACTTGAAGTCTAAGAGTTGATTTGTGTTTTGCCTTGTCAAAAGTAATTGTTTTAATAGTTTCTTAAAGCTTTTTCCAAAGTCTCTGCTTAAAATAAAGCAAAACAAAATGTGTGGCTTCTGTTTTAGCTTTCAATTCAATAAAAGCTAACCAGACAATATTTGATTTGGGGATTTTAATAATTTATTTCCACAAGCAGCATATTTTCCATGGCACTCCCAAGATGAATGATATACAAGATGTATCCCTCAAATAAGCAAGGAAATTTATCTGCAGCCTGGAATGTCTGGCTACAAATCATAAATTGTAGAAGACAGCTGCCAAAACCAATGATACAGAGTAATTCATCACGACACAGAGGCCCACTCTGGAATTATGTGCACTGGGGTGCACACCGTTTACATTTCGAAGGCAGCCACAAATCTTTGGATGCACAAAAGGGTTCAAGACAATTTCTGCAATCAAACATGTACTCTGTTGTGTCTTTGAACAAGGACAAGATTTTTCTGAGAAGACAGTTCTAGAAAAAGGAGTTTCCTGTCTCAAAGAGACATTTCTAACAGACCTTGGTTAGCCTCATCCAGCTTCCAGCTACCAAGTCAAAGCAAATGCACAAGAAAGATACATCTCACATTAGGAGAAATCAGATGAGCCATCCACTTATTGCTAGAATGCAGGAGGAATTTCCATTTGCTACAAAAATGGAGAGATGATAGAAATGAAAGGGAAAGATTGCAGTTCTAACACAAGAAGCAAAAGATATTCCTTATATTCCATTCATTCAGTCATTCTAGTTTCTAAGACATAATTGAAGACTGTGTTTTAAACTAAGGGAGACTTGATTATACAAATTATAAGGACTCAGTCATTTTTCCTCGACAACATATTCAGTCCACAAAAGCAATGAAACCAACAGCAAATACCTGTACAAAATGTGGATGTTTGGTCAAGATAAATGTCGTGTTCTATTGTTTGGCTTCTTGGTTGGTTGTCTCAGGTCCAGATTGGTCAACTGTTCATTCATTCATTCATTCATTCAGTCAGTCACTTGTAAGAGGCATCCTTTTACTATATAAAGCATGATCTTATGTGCAGATTCTATCCAGGCTTTGTACAGGTATTTGCTGTTGGTTTCATTGCTTTTCTTAGATGTGAGTCTGTTGGAGAGAGGGATGAATATAAAAGGCAACTGGCATTTGATAAAATTCAGCAGTCATTGTAGAATTCTACTTAGTGGTAAGTTTTACAAATATCCCTTCATGATCAAAGTCATCCTGTGATAGCTGCCAATAACTGTGAGGGATGGAGACAAGAAGGCAGTGTTGCCACTCTCTGCAGTTAGCAGTCCTCCCCTCACCTTTTTGTGTTACCTAGAACCCCTCAGGACCAACTAAAAATTCTAAGCGCTAATGAAATGTCAGTGTCATGACTGGGAACAAAACCCTAGCTTATTTGTGGGCAAGGATCACTAGCAACCATGATGGGTATTATAAGAATGACACAAACAAATATCACTAGCTACAAAGAAATCTAACATGTGCAGGAATACATTTATCAAGAAATGTAACAGAACTGTGAAACTTGATTGAGGGACAAAGCATATGAACAAAGACTGGGATAACCCTTTCCTCATTCAGCTGTGCTGATGGATGCTGGGTTGAGACACCTGAGGGAGAGGCGGGAGTCTGTCTCTGAGGTTAGGGGCGGAGGGCTGGGCCGAGAAGAGGCAGGGAGCGGAGGACGGTGCCTGGGAATAGTAGAGATTGAACCGCAGCTGGTGTGCAGGGCTTGGGGAGGGAGCTGAGGAAGGTGCTTTTGTTTGTTTTAGACAGTTTAAGTAGCAGGTTTGCTAAGGTCCTTTTCTTCTGCCTCTCTTCCTTTCTTTCTCATGGAAATCTCCTGTAATGATCCACATCACTTCATGAGGAGTGAGTCTTGTGGTTTTTTTCAGACATGTCACTTTCCTCAGGTTGGCATTAGGAAGAGAGTGGGAAGGTCTGATTGTATTTGTACTTTTATGACTGTCTTAGAAATAAAGCCTCAAATCCAATTCTGGTGGATTTACTAAGATAATGGTGTTTTACTAAGATAATGTTGCTATAATAAATGAAGCAGAATGGTTACTTGAATTGTACTTTTTATTTTCCCATGCACTGAGGGACCCATATAACCGCATGTTGAATCCGATTTGTAGTGACTTGGTATATCCTTTCGGTGCTCTGGAAGCATGATCCGAGTAGGTGCTTGGTGACTTTTTTGCAAGTGGTATCTGTGCTGAGGATTTTGGTTGGTTGGGGTGACATCTAATTTAATGGCTGTAGCACAATGTATCTACTCCAGCAAAATTGCCATTTCCATGTCAGGTCAGCAAAGCTTCACCTTTAGCTTAAAACAAGTTATTCTTTCCATTTCTATTTTAAGAAGTTTGAAAACGATTGGGGTAAGTATGAATAGAGAACTATAAAACTAAATGCCCGAGATTAAACTGCAAAGAAACACACACTGTTTCTCCTAAAGGTATGATTTTAACCAGATTATGACATAAGTGAAATAAGTACTCAGTATTGGTACCTTTATAGAAAAGATGTGGTACTTTTAAATCTTAAGTTTCTCAAACAAAGTGTGCATGTTAGGAGATCCAGGTAACAAGCCCTGTATTTTTGTGTTCCAGGCAACTTTTTCCTGCACCTGTGAGGACCAGTACATTGGTACTTTCTGTGAAGAATTCGATGCCTGCCACAAGAAACCGTGCAAGAACGAGGCAAGCTGTATTGATGCAAATGAAAAGCAGGAGGGGAGCAATTTCACTTGCCTTTGCCTTCCTGGTATGTTTTATGTAGTGAATACTGTCTATTTCTCCGTACAGTGTATGCTTCTTAATTAAGGATGCATACACAGTACTTCATCCATCTGTGACAGGTGACCGCAAGATCTCACTTGATTCCATCAGTCTGTATATAATCAGGGAAGGGAAGAAGGAAGGTCACAGGGGAATGATCGTGTCCTCTGGTTTGCTTTCTGATGTTAGGATGCTTCCATTTTAGCATTACACCAGTTTTGTTTTGGGGAAATAATATTCTTGGTCAAATAGAGGCCTAGATGTTTCAAAAACAATTCCACAAGTATGTACCGGGTGTGGGCTGGCACTGAGTTGGGTGATTATGTCAAGTAATTTAAGAAAAATCTAGGATCAAACACCCAAGTTATATAAAGCCACCTAATCCTTCTGTTTATGTTAATTTCTCCTTGTTATTGTATGTTCATTAGCCCGAGTTCCTGGTTCCCTGTTCTCCACAGTGGGGCACGGCAATAGCATTCTGAGATTTGTATGTGGTATTCTTGGATCTTATATGAGACTTTGAAGTCCTCCGAGCATATCGAATGGCTCCAAAGAGACAGCAGTGGCTCATGTGCCTGCCCACAGACTTTCAGGGTTTGGCAATCATCTTGATTGACTTACTGCTCGGCCATGTTGATTAGAAACCCTTTAGGAGCAAGAAGGCTGTTTTACCAGTGAACGTTTTAATATGGCTTTTTTTTTTTGGTGCACCTTTAAAGTAGACAAGTTGCTCCTATTTCATTTTCAAATAATGTGCAAAACTCACATCAGCCTTCCTCTTTCCATCTCATCCTGCTGCCAACTTCTGCTTCTGGGTGTGGATTCAGGATGAAGCAGAAGCTGAGGATGCAGAAAGAGATGGAATGAAGTGGGAGACGTGGAGATCAGCTATTCATTGTGAGCAGTAAGACCTAATAATGTAAAGTTTATAAACTAAAAGATGAGACTACTTCACTCCTTTATGCCCATCCAAATTTAATAAAATGATAGTGATGGGCTAATAGCTTGCTATATTATTTTCAGACCTGTGTGTGAGTGTGCATGTGTGTGTGTGCGTGTGTGTGTATGAATACAGGTGCATCTCTCTTACAAGCATGAAGTATTTTTCAACATGTTTTACAAAGTGATGATCATATACATATTTTCTGTAGCTTGCTTTTTTTTTTTTCTGTAGCTTGCTTTTTAAATGTTATTTGCTGATAGATCACAGACGTCCTTTCACGTCAGTTACCTGTGGACCAACTTCGTTCATTTGGGCAGTATATGGTTGTCTTTTACATTTGTGTCTTCTATAATTGTGTATGCAGACCCACCATGGATCTGACTACCTACTTGGAATCTCCATTTAGATGTCCCAGCCTACCTTAAACTCAGTTGTCCCCAAACTGGACAAATTGTGTCTCCAAGCTCACCAGCTCATCTTCCAGATATTTACAAGTCATCCTAGATGTTCTCCAGCTACTTCCTACTTCCATTACTCTCTATTACATCACCTAAAGACCTATCAGGGCCAACACCTCTGCTGCTGCCCCTGGGCTGGCTGTCTTTGTCCTCTGCCTGTGCTTTTGAGTAGCCTCCACAGTTTCTCCATCCACTCTTGACCTTGCACACACTGGAACCAAAGTGATCATGCTGAAGTGAGCACTGGGTCCCTACATGCATGCCCTTGTTCACTTCCCCAAAATATCTAATGTATTTGCTTTCTTGTTTAAGCTCCTTTTCTCATTGTTCTTTGGACAAAGACCAAAATATATGTTTTTATTTTCCTTTGAGGTATCTCTCTCACCTGTTCCAGCTCATGTCATTGTCTTCCTTGCTCTGAGTTCCAGCCACCCTGGCCTTTACCTTGTGTCTCCATTACTTTTCTCATTGCTGAGACAAAATACCCAATACTGAAAGTTAAAGGAGGAATGGTTTATTTAGCTCACAGTTCGTAGAGATTTCAGTCCATCATTGGCTGACCCCAAGGCAGGGTGGCACAGCAGGCAGGCATCACAGAGGAGAAACAGTTCATGGCAGGTAGAAGGTAGCAAATCAAGCAAGGGAGGAACACAGCTCTTTCTATTCGTTATATCTTATCCAGGATACTTAGAGTGGGTAGCGCTCATGCCCTTAATCCTAGTGCCCTTGAGACTAGCATTATACCATGAATCAATCCCCATTACACACTCTAGGTCCAGCCACCTCTGAAAAAGCTCTATCTATAAGTGCATGAGGCTTTAGGGGGACATCTAGACATAAACCAGAATATTCTACCCCTGGCCCCTCAAATACTCATGCATATCCTTTTATGAAAAAGGCAATTAGTCCATCTCTAAGAGTTACCAAAGTCCTAACATTTTCAGTATTACTAAAAATCCAAGTCCAAAGTCTCCTCTGAGATTTAAGGCAAACTCTTAATTGCCAGTTCCTGTAAAAATGCAAAGAAAGTTAAACACTTTCAACATTCAGTGGCACAAGAAAGACATTTCCATTCCAAAAGTCACAGTCAGGGGTATAGCAAAGAATGGGAACAAAGCAAGACCAAAGTCTGGCAGGGAAAACATTAAATCCCACATTTCCACTTCCAGCATGCCCAGCAATCTGTGGCAAATAGTGAACTCCAAAGGGCTTCAGTGCCTCCGCCCCTATGGCACTTCTGGTGGTTGTAGCTTCCATGGCTTCTCTCTTGGGCCTACTTTGTTACCTCCTTGCAGTTTTCCTCAGATGATCCACATTCTTGACTTCTTCAAACTTCTAGGGTCTCTACTGCACCTTAGCTTCACATTCATAGCGTCACACACTGCCCTCTCAGGAGCACAGTGCCTGGCCTCCCAGGCCTTCTGAAATCTGAGTGGAAGCCTTCCTGACCTCAACTCTTATATTCTGCATACACCTAAAACTAACATCACATGGATGATGCCAAGGTCTGCTGCCAGCTGGAGTAGTAGCCAGGCTTTCTTCTTTTTTGGCTATAGGAGTCTATGGAGCAAATTCTGAGGAACAACCTATCTACCTAGGCCACCACCATTCTGGAATATGGCATTCTGGGGCTCTCTTCTCAAAGTAAAGTCTTCCACTTTCACAACCCTAAGGCTGAAAAGGCTGGAGTCCTGCTGATTCCTGCGTTGTCCTCAGGCCATCTTTTCTGTTGTCTTCTGAAATTCTTGGCTTTTTCTTGCTAGTCTTTTCAGTGACCATTTTCTACTCTGTTCCATCTTTGCAGGTCACAACTTTACTGGAATTTCCTTTCTGGCTAAACTCACAACTTTTTAAGTCATTCTGCTGAGCTATTTGCTTCCGATTCTCAACATAAAGCTGGCTAAAAGCCCCCAACAGTCACCATGCCACCACCTCAACATTGGACTGTCTTGAAATTTCTTCTGCCATATTATTCTGCCACCCTTAATCTCAGTCTCAGGCAAAGTCTCTGGACATGAGCAAAATGCAGACAAACTTTCTGCCAAGCCATAAGACACATCATCTGGGTCCAACAGCCAATGCAATCCTCAGCAGAAACCTCTTGAGCCCAGTCTTTATCAGCAGCATTTATATCAGTATTCTAGTCTTCTGAGCTCTGATCAAAATCTCCCATACAGTACAGCTGAAGGCATTTCAGCTCTACTTTTCAGCAGGTATCTCCAAAACTTTCCAAACTCTTCCCCTTCCTACAAGTCAGCTTTTGAGCCACATGGCCAGATAATGTCACAGAAACAACACCCCTTCTCTGATACTACATTCTGCCTTAGTTACTTTTCTTGTTGCTGAGAAAAAATACCCAACACTCAAAGTTAAAAGGAAAAGGTTTACAGTTTGCAAGGCTATAGTTTGTAGAGGTTTCAGTCCGTAATTGACTGGCTCCAAGACAGGGTGGCATGGGAGACAGGCATTGCAGAGGAGAAACAGTTCATGGCAGGCAGAAAGTAGCAAAGTAAACAAGGTGTGATGATACCTGTTTCTATCTCTTATATCTTATCTAGTTTACTTAGGATTGGTAGCACTCACACCCTTAATCCTAATGCCTTTGAATTTAGCATCACGCCATGAGTCAATCTAAGCATCACTCTAGGTCCAGCCACCTCTGAAAAAGCCCTATCTATGACTGCATGAGGTTTTGGGGGAAGATCTAGCCACAAGCCATAATGCCTCCCAGTAGCTTGAGCTTCCCCCATCACAGGGCCACCCTCTCTTATGTGTGCCTGGTTAGCTAACTGCAGATCTGTGTCAGACCTTTGTTACATGTCCTCGTTTCTCAGGAAGTCTGGCTAAATGTTTGAAGATAAACATCTCTGTTTTTCTCTTTTATAGCTCTGTGTTCTTTTTCTGCACAGCTCTTATCAGTTTTCAGTACACGTTTACATGTGTGATTCTTTCATTACTGCCTGTCTTTTCTGCCAGAGTTAAGCCTCAGCATCAGTATTGTTCATCTTCATATCCCACTGCATCTGACAAACTGTGGATACCCAGTCAGTGTGTGGATAAGGTAAATTACTGAAAGCCTATAAATGTAGGCTGATGTTTTAAACCATTCCTCTCTTGATGGATCTTTAAGATGTTTGTAATTTCTCACTTTTAACTAGTGCTAGAACAAATAAAGACTCTTTCGTTGATATGGGTTGACCATTGCTAATTCAAAAACCCCAAATCAGAAATACTCCAAAATGCAAAATGTTTTAAAGTGCCATGTAACTGCAGTTTAGATATTGAAGTTTTGGATTAAGGATGTCCAACCAATAATGTCTATGCAAATATTCCCAAATCTGAATAGCACTATTATCTAAAATACTTTTAGTCCCAAGCATTTGGATAAAGGATAGACAACCTGTAGTCTCATTTAAAGCTAGTAATTGGAGGTTTGCACTATTTGCATGGAAATGAGTTTGGTTTGATATTTTAGTCAAGTCTGTTTTCAAAGAGAATTTCTCTGCTAAAAACATAATCTGACATACACAGAATTAGAATGACATTAATTCTTGGTTTCTGAATAAGGAGTAGGTTTGGGGAATT